TCTTCTGATGCTTCTGTTAGTCCTGCTCAAACTATATCTCCATACTATTTTGAGCATCCTTCTTCTTTTACATTGCCAGATATTCCTTTGGTTAGTCATCCTTCTGTTTCTACAGATGATTTACAAGGTTCTTTAGAACAAGATTCTGGAACAGATGGTATGATAGAAGACAGAGACAGACCACGTAGATTGGCTAAACGCCCATCGTATTTGTCCAATTATCGTTGTTACCACTTGACACATTTTGTCCCTCCCTTAACCTCTTCAAATACACCATATCTTCTTTCTCAATTCCTCACTTATGACAAACTTAGCCCCACTTATAAGACCTTTGCCTTGTCCATAACCACAGAACCTGAACCTTCTTGTTATTCTAAAGCTGTTAAGTTAGCACATTGGAGAGATGCAATGAAACTAGAGTTGGATGCTTTGTGCCGGACTGAAACCTGGACAATCTGTCAATTACCACCTGGGAAACATCCTGTAGGATGTAAATGGGTCTATAAAACAAAGTATAATCCTGATGGTAGTATTGAGAGACATAAAGCAAGATTGGTAGCAAAGGGTTACACACAAATTGAAGGAGTGGATTATGGTGACACTTTTAGTCCAGTGGCTAAACTAACAACTGTTCGTGTCTTGTTAGCTTTAGCTTCTGTGAATAATTGGATCTTGGATCAGATGGATGTTTCAAATGCTTTTCTTAATGGAGATTTGGAAGAAGAAATATATATGACTTTGCCACAGGGGTATTCTTTACTTAAGGGGGAGACTGTCGATTCTGATTCTGTTTGTAAGCTTCAGAAGTCTCTCTATGGGTTGAAGCAAGCTTCAAGACAGTGGAATCAAAAGCTGACTAAAGTGTTGGTGGATGCTGGATATGTTCAGTCTCATGCGGACAATTCTCTATTTGTCAAAAGGCAAGGTTCTGCTATTGTTCTTGGATTGGTATATGTTGATGATATACTGGTTACAGGGAATGATCAGCTTCTTATACAGCAGTTCAAGGATACTTTACATTCTCAGTTTCATGTCAAGGATCTTGGACAGCTTCGATACTTTTTGGGAATTGAAGTGGCTCGGTCCAAGACAGACATTTCTATATGTCAACATAAGTATACATTGGAGCTTTTGGAGGATTTTGGTATGTTGGGTTGCAAGCCTGCTCGAACTCCAATGGATACGAGGTTGAAACTCAGCAAAGAATCTGGAGAGTTGTTACCTGATGCTACTCTGTTTCGTCGCCTTGTTGGAAAATTGATATATCTGTCAGTGACTCGACATGATATATCTTTTTCTGTTAACAAGTTATCTCAGTTTATGGCAGCTCCAAGATCTGACCATATTCAAGCTGCTCATCGTGTTTTACGATACTTAAAGATGTCCCCTGCTCAAGGATTGTTTTATCCGGCTGATTCTGATATGACATTGTCGGGATACACTGATGCGGACTGGGCCTCGTGTCCGGACTCTCGAAGATCCGTCACAGGGTTTTGCGTCTTCTTGGGCAGCTGTTTAGTGTCGTGGAAATCCAAAAAGCAAGTTACCATTTCACGGAGTAGTGCTGAGTCTGAGTATCGCGCAATGGCTCAAACAACATGTGAACTTGTCTGGATTTCGTCACTGTTACGTGATGTTGGGGTTGATTTCGGTTTGCCGGTTAAGCTTTTCTGTGATTCCCAGTCTGCAATACATATTGCCAACAACCCGGTATACCATGAGCGTACTAAACATATAGAGCTGGACTGTCATCTTGTTCGAGAGAAGATCAAGCTTGGTTTTCTTCAGCCAATTCATGTTTCTTCTGCAGAACAGGTGGCGGACTTGCTGACAAAACCTTTGTCTGCTGATCAAACCGAGTTTCTACTTGTCAAGATGGGAATACAATCCTTGTATTCTCCATCTTGAGGGGGAGTATTGAAGACTCCCGTCTTTAGGTTGATTTCGGTTTGATGATTGGTTATTTTTCTGTTTCCGGTTTAGTGCGTTGGTTCAAGTTTGTTAGTTCTGGTTTTACATTTACGATTGTATAAGTACTCGAGTCCTTTTGAATTTTGAAATACACAGAAAATTCCCACACTCTGTTTTTTCTCTACTTTCTCTCTCTACCATTTCAAAAATGCACAAACTCATTTGTCGCAATTAAGACCCTAGGAATCTGTTTTTCCTGAATTGCATTTGATTGGATTTAGAGCCTTTTTGCCTTTTATCTGATGGTTACTTGCAGGAGAAGCAACTCTTAGTAAGAGGGGAAAATACGTAAAATCATATATTGAATTGACTTGTATATATATACACACCCCATTGGGGAAAAATGAGAGAGACTAAGCTGCCTTGTCGATTTACATTTTCACAGTACGCATGAACAGATTAAACAAGAAACTGATCATCGAACCCAATCTCAAACTTGTTCCGCAGCATCGACGACGACGACGACCGGATTCTCGGCCATGCCTTGTTCCGCAACGTCTTCGACGACGACAACGACAGGATTCTCGTCCGTGACTCCTTCGACGTTATCATTATCATCGATCTCGGCATCCTTCTTAATAACGCACCAGGCTTTGCCGCTGACAGAGCTGCGGCAATTAGGGCAAGTCGGGTTCTTTCGGAGCCAGCGATCAATGCAGGCAGGATGGAAAAGATGATGGCATTTGGATAGACAGACAACCTTATCCTCAGGCATATAGACTTCGAGACAGATGGGGCAACAAGTCTTGTTGGCTCCTCCTTCATCATCTTCTCCTCTCACCATGACGTCCTTGAACTCGTGGATCATCTTCGGAGTGATGGCCACTTCTGGGTATGGCGGAGCAGAGAGCCGTCTCGGAGGAAGAGCCATCTCGATGTCAAACGAAGCTGGAGGAGCAAAAGCAAGTCCGGATGATGATAATGCGGCGTTGCGATTAACCATCTCAATGATGCGTGAAACTCGCTGTCGTCTGGCCGCGATTTGATCGGCGGTCTCGATGTCCATGTGGTCGGATTCCTCGATGCAGCTGCACCCGTAGTAGAAACAGTAGTAGAAGCAACATGAGTAAATGATTGAGAAGATCGTTACAGCCGGAATCAACCATTGGTTGACCTGCTCAAGCACAGGATTCATGGCGATCGATAGAAAGAGAGAGAGAGAGAGAGAATCGGTGAGAGAGCGGAGAAGACAAGTCTGTGGAGTGATCACAACAATCCCCTCGTCCCATTATATATATATAATTAATTAGGAAGAGAAATGGAAACTATTTTGAAATAATTGTAAACTCTCTAACTCTGATTCTAACCGTTGGATCTTTCCTTTTCTCTCACCAACAGAGAAATGGAAAATTAAATTAGCATTATACATTTTGAATTTTTAAACCCCTTACACGAATAATATACCGTTTCACTATTACTAAATAAAATAATACACACACAAACACACCGAATCAAATTTTAAACTTTGCAAGCACCCAGGACCAAAATTTAGAATTCGGACCGAACATTATGAACCCTAAAGTTTTCTTCCCCTACCAGATTTATGATCATTATCAGGCAGAGCATCGTCATCTCCGTTATTGTCGTCGCCGCCGTGACGAGATTCGCTGGAGATACGGCCGAATAGAATCTCCAGCGATTCTTTCTGGTGAAACCGAATCGACGGAAAGAGGTCGAATTCAATCGGATTCGTGTGGTGAAGCGGTCGATGAAATTGGGGATTTTTATATAAATGAAACATTCTTTTTGTTTGAGTTGAACTTTTCGATCGAGGTTGAAGAGACTATGATTTGTCCATGCAGGACCCGGAAATGCTTGACCCAAGCTACAGCAGGAACCAGGAGCCGTTGTCTCAGGATATCGGTTGTCTAGCATCGTATGAAGCAGCTCTTGGATCTGGAAATTCTTTACCTAAGCTATGACGAGGGACTTGCATCAGTATCAAAGTTCCCTGATATCCTACGTTGTTTTTTTGCAGGAGCATTTGGAGGAAAGGTACATACATATATTCAATAATCTGTCTCAGATTGCAAAAAGATGTGAGGGTCATGCCACTGCATCTGTTTTTTCACGATTCGTTAAAGCGTGGCCCTTGAGAAAATCTATCTAATATCATGACGGGAATCTCGGCCATGATTTGGCTGAGATGGACTTCTTGAGGAAATCGATGCGAAGCTCCTCGAACATTTTCTTGATGGGGGATGCGATCAGGCGGTTGCCGTGTAGAAATCTCTTCCAGCACCACCGTGTGGGTCGGCTGCCGGTGTTGCGGGTTTTGCTCAGACAAAACCCGAAAAGTTCGTTCGCGTCAAGAAGCTCAGGATCACATCTCTGTGTAAAAAAATATTTCCAGTGATAAACATTAAACCTGCACATTCAAGGTTCGGTTTCTTGAATCCATTTACGTTGGCATGAGGATACAAACTAGATGATGGATGATGTCAAGATCAGATTTCGCAGATGCCCTTTTACACAAATTTGACGAAAAAACGGAAGAGCAGACGGAGACAAAACATGAGCAATGCCTGCATCGGCTGAACTGGTTCGCCGGGCCCCTTTTTGTCGGAATTCCTTCAACTTAGATCGTTAAAATACATACGAACTGGTGCAAGTTTTTTTTGTACCCGTAGCATTAAAAGAACAGTGCAAGTTTTGGGTGGTAAATGTTAGAAAAATTATAAATAAGAAATTAGAAAAAAAAAATGTCCCGACTTTTCAATTTTGTACCAATAAAACATAAACTTTTTTTTTTACCAAATAAATCCTAAACACTGAATTTATCCCGCAACATACATGTATGTGTATTTTTTTATTTTATTTTGATATTTACCTTTTAGTTTATTTAAATATTTATTGATTTTTAGAAATATTTAATTTTTGAAATAGAAAATGATGATATGTAAATTTTTATTAGATGAAAATTTTAAGCAGGTAGGGTAAAAAAAATAAGGAATTCGAATTTTGCTTTTAGGATAATTGCGAAGCTTAGGTTTTTTCTTTCTAATTTCCCAATTAAATATTGTGGTGAGGCGCAGCGTCCTCAATCCGGAAATTTCTAACCGAGACAGAGCTTCCAAATGGCGGCGGCGTTTTTGCCGGTGACCTCTCTCCGTTTGACGCCACTATCCACTCTCCGGCTCCTCTCCTTCTTCCCCAAATTTAATACGCGCCCTTCTTCTCTCCCTCGCCGGCTTCTCCCGTTATTTGGAGGTTCTTCGGCGAGTGCTCGCCTGCGTTGCTTATGCAGCGCGTCTCTCAGTTCCGGAGATGGGAGGAGAGTGGAAAGTAAAGTTGGAGAATTTAGGAGGAAGTTGAGGATTGCGGACATAAAGGGGGGATCCGACGAAGGACTGGGTCGGGTCGGGCAGACACTGAGAGTAATGGGTTGGGTGCGGACTCTCCGGGTTCAGAGCAGCGTCACCTTCATCGAGGTAATGCTGCTGTGTTTGCATCCCTCAACCTCGAACCCTTGATTCACTCGGCGGATGCCATTAAATCAATTTATTGTCTTGTTTTTCAGATAAATGACGGTTCATGCCTCTCAAACATGCAATGTGTTTTGAACTCGGATGCAGAAGGGTATGATCAGGTAAATTCATTCACCTTTGAATGATTTTAATACTCCAGGAGCCTCATATTGACCGTAGTAAAGGGTTTCTCTCAGTCTTCAGTTTTGTTGCTTCAAAGACTCGTTAGCTTATCATTTGGGGGCTGAAAATTCTTCAATTTTTCATGTGTGATTTGATGTGTGTGCAAGGTTTATAATTTTTAATCCTCGGTTTCTACCGTATTCATGAGCTGAACAATAGGTAGAATCCGGTATGGTCTTGACCGGAGCTTCCATATCAGTACAAGGAACTCTCGTGGCTAGCCAGGGATCAAAACAAAAGGTGGAACTAAAGGCCGAGAAGATTGTTGTGGTATGCGCTTGCTTTTCAATGCACTCGATTCGTTATGATTCATAGTTATGCTTCTTTGAATTCTTTCATCAGTGCCCTACTTTTTCCTAGATTGGCATATGCGATGCTTCGTATCCAATTCAGAAGAAACGAGTTAGCAGAGAATTCTTGAGAACCAAGGCTCATTTACGTCCAAGAACAAACACTTTTGGGGCGGTAACTTTTATATCTGAACGCCTTAATTCTTTATGGAGAAAGTACGTTTTGTCTAAATATTGTGTTTACTAGAGCAATGTGCAGCGTTAAGATTCTTTTTGTGTCATCAAGTTTCTCTTCTTTGTTTCTCTTGTCTGAGCGTTTGAGGTGTTTACTATTTGATACATTTGAATGGAAATGCGGTGTTCTTAAACTCTTGTATCTGGTTTCAGGTTGCAAGAGTGAGGAATGCTTTGGCATTCGCTACGCACAATTTCTTTCAAGAAAACGGGTTCATCTGGGTGTCAAGTCCGATTATCACAGCTTCAGACTGTGAAGGAGCAGGAGAGCAGTTCTGTGTCACAACTCTGGTAAGAACTTAAGCTCCAAATATCATAATAGTTTTAAGAAACCATTGGCTCAAGATTTTTATGTTTGAAAAAGTTTGGTAAAATTACAACTTGGTTTTGTTTCAATTCTTAGATACCAAGCTGCAATGAGACCACAGATTCATCTGTTGACACAATTCCGAAAACAAAGGAAGGGTTGATCGATTGGTCAAAGGTGTGTTACATCTCGATACCTTTTCCCTTTTCGGGTTTTACTAATCGTGAGAATGGTGAAATGTTAAAGCTAGAACAAGTTGCCCAATTTGATGTCCGATTCCCTTCACAGGACTTCTTTGGGAAACCAGCTTTCCTGACTGTCTCAGGTCAACTCAATGGAGAAACATACGCTACTGCTCTTTCAGATGTAAATACATCTTCCTTGGGTGACTTTCGAGCCTATATTTTGCTTCGTGAAGTGTGAATATGTGCACCTGTATGCATTTTTAGGTATACACATTTGGTCCAACATTTCGAGCTGAGAATTCCAACACTTCCAGGCACTTAGCTGAATTCTGGGTGGGGATTTATTCTTCTCTTCTCCCTCTTCACCCACCAAAAAGCTTTGTGTGTGTTGACTGAAGATTTTTGTGTTCCATGTGTATAAGATGATTGAACCAGAACTTGCGTTTGCGGACCTGGAAGATGACATGGCCTGTGCTACTGCCTATCTCCAGTATGTAGTACGTGTACTCTTCCGCTTTCTATATTCTTTCACTGAACATGTTCCTTTGTTATTTTAGTGGATGACTCAGTCTTTCTGGATTCTGATAGGTTCGACACATTCTAGATAATTGCAAGGAAGACATGGATTTCTTCAATACTTGGATAGAGAAAGGGATCGTTAACCGCTTGAGTGTATGCATTCTTGTTCTGGCCTATCATCTTTTCTTTTCTTTTTTTCCTGATGAGCAAAAGGGGAAATGCATGTTTTGCATTAGTTAATGTAATGCAACTTATTTTTTGTTTCAAAGGATGTTGCAGAGAAAGACTTTATACAGCTCACCTACACCGATGCCATTGAGCTTCTTCTGAAAGTAAACAAGAAATTTGAATTCCCGGTATCGACTCTTGTTTCCTTTTATACACTAAACTGTTCGTGGTATCTTATGGGGCGGGTTATGGTCACATCAGGACATGTGTCTTCAGTGGTCTTTCATCAGGTTTCATTGGACAAATCCTACCATTTTGGTATCTGAAATAATGGTGGTGTACACATACATTGTGGCAGGTGAAGTGGGGGTGTGATCTACAGAGTGAGCATGAACGCTACATAACGGAGGAAGCATTTGGGGGACGACCCGTCATCATCAGAGACTACCCAAAGGCAAGGCCACCCTGAAATCCATCCCAATTCAGTTTTCTTTGTGATGCATTTTCATTGAATCTTGATTATGAAAAATGAAAAACTGTAGGAGATAAAGGCGTTCTACATGAGGGAGAATGATGATGGGAAGACAGTTGCAGCCATGGATATGTTGGTGCCTCGGGTAAAGAAGTCAACTAGAGAACTCACTTCACTTCATGTCATCATCATCATCATGTCTCATATCATATGTGTGTTGGGTTAATTTTGAAGGTAGGGGAGTTGATAGGAGGGAGCCAAAGGGAGGAGAGGCTGGACTGCTTGGAAGCTCGGCTCGACGCTTTAAACCTGAGCAAAGACAGCTACTGGTGGTACCTCGACCTCCGCCGCTTTGGTTCAGTTCCCCACGCAGGGTTCGGTTTAGGGTTTGAGAGATTGGTTCAATTCGCCACCGGCGTTGACAATATCAGAGACGTCATCCCTTTCCCTCGCACACCTGGTTCTGCCGACTTCTGACAAGCGATGTATTCTCTCATTCTATTCTATTTTGTATCGTAAACAAGAATAATAATCATTTTTTTTAAAAATTATTTCATACGGAAAATGCTGTAATGTATGCATCAATTATTACATTGCTTGACATTGGGTTGGAGTAATCGATTCTTATTTCCGACAAAGAAGGATCTTCTTGTTCCTAAGCTTTTAACAAATGAGAATGAAAAACTTCTTCTAATGGTTACTTGCGGGAGAAGCAACTCTTAGTAAGAGGGGAAAATACGTAAAATCATATATTGAATTGACTTGTATATATATACACACCCCATTGGGGAAAAATGAGAGAGACTAAGCTGCCTTGTCGATTTACATTTTCACAGTACGCATGAACAGATTAAACAAGAAACTGATCATCGAACCCAATCTCAAACTTGTTCCGCAGCATCGACGACGACGACGACCGGATTCTCGGCCATGCCTTGTTCCGCAACGTCTTCGACGACGACAACGACAGGATTCTCGTCCGTGACTCCTTCGACGTTATCATTATCATCGATCTCGGCATCCTTCTTAATAACGCACCAGGCTTTGCCGCTGACAGAGCTGCGGCAATTAGGGCAAGTCGGGTTCTTTCGGAGCCAGCGATCAATGCAGGCAGGATGGAAAAGATGATGGCATTTGGATAGACAGACAACCTTATCCTCAGGCATATAGACTTCGAGACAGATGGGGCAACAAGTCTTGTTGGCTCCTCCTTCATCATCTTCTCCTCTCACCATGACGTCCTTGAACTCGTGGATCATCTTCGGAGTGATGGCGACTTCTGGGTATCGCGGAGCAGAGAGCCGTCTCGGAGGAAGAGCCATCGCGATGTCAAACGGAGCTGGAGGAGCAAAAGCAAGTCCGGATGATGATAATGCGGCGTTGAAATTAGCCATCTCAATGATGCGTGAAACTCGCTGTCGTCTGGCCGCGATTTGATCGGCGGTCTCGATGTCAATGTGGTCGGATTCCTCGGTGCAGTTGCACACGTAGTAGAAACAGTAGTAGAAGCAGTAAACGATTGAGAAGATCGTTACAGCCGGAATCCACCACTGATTGACGTGCTCAAGCACAGGATTCATGGCGATCGATCAGAGAGAGAGAGAGAGAATCGGTGAGAGAGTGGAGAAGAGAAGTCTGTGGAGTGATCACAACAATCCCCTCGTCCCATTATATATATATATATATGTATAATTAATCAGGAAGAGAAATGGAAACTATTTTTAATAATTGTAAATTCTCTAACTCTGATTTCATATTTCCTTTTTTCCCACGAGAGAAATGGAAAATTATATTAGGATTATACATTTTTATTTTTTTAATTTCTGACTAAAAAAAGTACACGGATAATATAAAATTTTCACTAATGACTAAATAAATAATTTTTACAAACGCTCGGATCAAAACTTAAAATTAGGAAGAGAAAAGGAAACTATATGAGCATCAGAAAAATGGAAACTTATGACGGATTTTAAACATTACGATTATACATTTTGTATTTGACTAAAAAAATACACGAAAAATATAAAATTTTCACAAATGACTAAATAAATATATATAATCACCCCGAATCAAATTTTAAGCTTTACAAACACTCGGAGGATCAAAATTTAAAATTCCGACCGAACATGATGAACCCTAACGTGTTCTCCCCCTACCAGATTTATGTAATTATCACGCAGAGCATCGTCATCGTGATCGACTTCTCCTCCTTCGCCGTCATCATCGTCGCCGCCGTGACAAGATTCGCCGGAGATACGGACGCGTAATCGCCGCAACAACTTGTTTCCATCTTCTTCGATTTTTGATGAAATCGGATAGAATTTGGTCGGTTTTGCCTTCTGGGTTTTCGTCGAATCTGACGGAAAAGTCGAATTCAATCAAATTGTATCAGATTCGTCTGGGTTTCTTTCTGGTGAAGCGACTGATGAAATTGGGGGATTTTCAATGTATGTATGTATGTATGTATGTATGTATGTATGTATGTATGTATGTATGTATGTACATCCTCACATAACATAGTTAAGAGAAATATCCAAATATCAGTAGATGGATCACCAAAACTGCATGCAATAGAACTTAAGAACAATCATGACCAGAGAATTCATGACCTTTCGCCAAAAATTAATTGGAATGAAAAGAAGATTTGTTACAAAAGATGCAAGAATCAGACAAAAGTTGATGAATGATACTTCCTTCTTCAATCCTAAGCTTCCTGCTCTCTCTGTTCCAAAGATGAACAGCGAAGCTGTTTCTCCTTATATGCTGGAGCTTCTGATGAACCCATTTCGCATCGTTTCTGTTCTTCGGAGACCTGTAAAACCCTCCGATCCGATTCCAATCCACCGGATAAAACGCAGAAGGAGGCAACACACTGACGTTGAATGTGTTCTTGGCATTGATTCTGGCAACCACTCTCGAGACGAGATACGGACCGTTGTGACCCCATTTGTTGCCATTGAACGTCTGAGAGAATTCATCGATGAACCGTTTGAGGAGAGGGTGTTTCTTGTCGAAGATCAACACGGCGTTGTTCAGTCTGCTCCATTTTCTTGTCGCTGAATCAACAGTCTGTGCTCCAATGGCGTTCCTGAGATTGGAGAAGCTCTTCAGGACAATGACGTCTGTGTCTAAGTATACTCCGCCGTATTTGTACAGAAGAACGAGTCTCAGAAGGTTAGAGAGATTCTGCTCCAACGGAATCACTCCCGGTCTGAACCATCCTCTCCTCAAACCCTCGAACCAAGCTTCTGCAGATGTGTTTCTGAATATGTAATCGAAATCTGGTCTGACTGCAATGACTCTCAGTCCTTTATCCGAAAAGGGTTTCAAGATTTTGCTCCCTCTTTCGCAGTCTAGAGAATTCGAAACCAAGATCAAGCAGCTATTCGGGTGGGATTTGAACAAGCTCTCTATCGCAAACATCTCTCGTTCTCCGAAAGAGCCAATGGAAGATATCCAAGTCATGAAGAACAACGACTGGCACAAGGATTTGGACAGGAAAGCCTTCACCTTCCTTCCGAATCCGCGAGATTTACGTCCACCCGGTGAAATCAGTAAGAACTTCTTCCTGACCCTTCTCCCCGTTCTAACCGATGAAATGTTCAGTTTCGGTATTACATGTAAATCTGCCTTCAAAACTGCAGGCGGGTTGGTCTCTTTCACCGCAAGCAACATCGAAGATGTGTTCTTCACGAGCTGTTCATGAACAAGATCAGGATTCGGTAACGAGAAGGGTTCTTGTTCAACGACGGCATCGGAAGGATCATGAATATGGACAGAGAAAACAGAGAAGCTGTTGTAGATTAGGAGGAGGAGGAGGAGAAGGCCAAGAAGAGAAACGGGCAAACAACAGATGAAAGAGATTATGAATCTTTTGATTCTCTGCAAGAAGAAGACATCGCCTGTTCTTGTCGTCTGAATCTGATGCATCTTCTTTCCCAGTGAATGATTCACCATTTGCATGAACTAGCAGAAAACTTGGTCTTCTTTTTGCCGTGTCCCCGTCAGAATAATAAAATATTTTTTTAATGAAGAAACATACATCATATGATTGATTGTGTGCATATATATATATATATATATATATATATATATAAATGCAATTTTTTTTTTGTGCAACTAATTTGATGCGACTTGAAATATTTTTTTACTGATCCTATCTGTCCTTTTGATACGAAGACTTCGTCTCTCGGTTCCAATGATAATGATAATAATAGAAATTACGTTTAAATTATTAGGTAATTTTATATTTTAAGAGCGGACTAAACAATTTATATGTTCATAGACCGAGATTTAATTGGTTGTTAATAATAATAATAATAATAATGATAATGGACTGACCATATGCAATTATGAGGTTGTTGAATGTATTTCCAAATAATTAACAGAAATAATAAATCGTGGTACCACATGTAATATTCATAACAATTTTATACGTATGAGAAATTACAAGAGAAATATTCTGACAGAAGTTGATATGGATTTAGCATATGGTCAAATATACGGACGATGGTCCGAATATAACGGAGCATGTGCATTCCAAAAACATTCATTGCATAGAAAAATATAATCATTTCGTCTTTTATTTGTTACTCATTAATAAAAATAATGATAATATACAAAATAACATCATTTCGGAATTATCCAAAACTAGAATAGTTTTTCGATTTTGTTGAATTTATAAGTTTTCTTTTTTTAGAACAATTTGGTTCATATGGATCCGGGACGCATAAAAGTGTTATAATATCCGCGAAACGGATTTGAGTGCATATGTCAATATTTCCACAATGGATATTCATGGTTATACTTACATGAATAATTTTGTTAAAGACGTTACAACTCTAAATAGTCAGAATTTTTTTTTAATAAATACTTATATTAGAAGTGATCAAAGACCGTTATATCCTTAGACATTTGGATTATTTCAAAAATGTCTAAGGTTATTAACTTACTAAAACCTTGGATAATCATCGAGTTTGATACCGTAAGTATCCCGAAAGTTTTGTCCGTTTCTGTTCTGTTGTAGAAAAAAAACTCGTTATCTACATTTTTTCAATTTTATTTTAGGCAGACTCTCCTTTATTTAAATCCGATATTTAAAATATTTACATTGAAAACAATTTAAAATTTTAATCTCAAGCTAACTAAATGAAATTTGATTAGATAAGCTTCTTTAATTTAGATTCTCTCTCTCTCTCCGTTTTTTTTTTAGAATTTGGAAAACCCACAGAAACAATATCATTTCGGACAATTCCTAACGTTTTTGGGTCTCTTGGATGAAATCAAGGGGAATGGAACAATTTACAAAAAGAAAAAGAAAAAGAAAAAACCTATCAATTTGTGCTAATGAACTTTTTACATATGAACTCTTCAAGCTTCCTGTAAATCCCAAATCAAAGAAACTACAAAAGAATCAAAGTGTGAAAAAAGGCCAAAAGAAGAGAAAATGAAAACTATGGGAGAAACTAATACTAGTAATATTATACAATGAACCTGATGATGGTGATGATGATGACAAGAAGAGTGTACTACCACCAAGTGTGGAGGAGGAGGGGGCGGGCAGACTCAGCATTGCAGAAGAAGAATGTACACATCATAATATCATGATCCTCTCTCTTGAATTTTGTTTCTTCTGTTTCTATGGCAATTTGCATGACTCTATCACTTCCAACACCGCCTTATGCGTTTCCTCCGGGATCATTTTCAGCGTCGTATGAAACGCCTGTGTATATATACAGACACACACACACACACACACACATGTATGCGTGTATGTGTTAATGGAGTTTTGGTCATCCTCTCAAACTAAGGCTCTGGCAAAGACCGAAGAAAGATGGTAGGAGAGAGGGAAAGTACCAGGAATCTATCCAAGACAGGTACCAAAATTGCCAGGTTTCCCTTTGGAAGGTAATCCTTGATTACGTTGCGTGTGCTTCTACTGCTCCCAGACATGAGAAACCCATATTCATATTATTCAGCTTATATTTATTGACCATTAGGGATTATAGGAGGAGGGACCGTATAAGATCTGTAAGGAAGATTGGAGAAACGTAAACCCACCTTTCAGTAGAAAGAAATGCGAGTAGAAGAGCCGAGTACGCTTCCACGATCATCTTTTCCGCTTCTTTCTCGCTTTCCAAGACAGCTTCTTCATCATCCTGCAGAGAAGAAAAACATTATACACAATTGAACAATAAAATCTGAAGGTCTGAAGACAAGACAAACCCTCCTCTCCGGCATCTCCATTTCTGTAAAGAGAGTAATCAATAGCAGGGAAATACCCAATGGCAATGGCAAACAACTGAGGAAGCAGCTACCATTTTAGCTAACTCACCAAGGTGAACGGAGTTTCTTCTTTGGCCTCGCCTGATCCTTGATTCGCAAGAAAGATTGAACATAACAGAGGAATCACCTCCTGTTCACTTTCTACCAAACCTTCTGAATTCGGAATAGAAACAGTAGCTGTGGCAAGCCGTGACCTATACACCAAAGCAAGAACAGATTAGAGAATATTCAATATACATTGACACATGTTTGTGTTATTACAGCCTTAATCATGAAGTCAGGGTTTCCACAACGCTCAAACGTGAAAATATAAATTGAAAAGCAGTAAATCTCGAACCTGTTCATTCCATCTTTCTCCACCAAGTTTACAAGCAACCCCAAGATGGCAACAAGAAAATCCAGCTCCTGATCAGCTAGATGTCTTTCTTTCTGATGGTTTGATCCCATCTTTTCCGTCTCAACGGAAAGAGGAGATCTGCTGAATAAAGGGAAGTGCCCGGCAATCAATTCTGACATGGCTTCCAATCCTCCACATGCAGCAATTTGCCGACAACCCACAGAATTATCATTCGTCAAGTTCATTAGAACCTGTAAATATGTCGGTTTATTAGAACCTACATAAATGTTAATAGGTTAACATCAAAAACTATAACCAAAGAACTTACTTTCACGGCAGTGAGAAGACAATCAGATAGAAGACTGAGACATTCTTCATCCATATCATTGGAAGAAGATGCATTGTGTGATATATGGCAATCTCTATCACTTGATTCTTCCTGGGAATTGAATCTACATTTAGATTCTTCTGGGCTCCTGGTAACCTGATGTGAAAATTCATCTTTAATTCCTTTGTGGCACTCCTTCCTCTTTTGAGCTTTAGGTTTCTTTTGCTTTCCTGATAGTACTTCCCATTTCGAAGGTTCAGAATCTTCGAAATCAAACGAAAAAGGATCTTCGCTATCCTCCGGGGAAGCAAACTTATCAGACTTTGTACAACTGGGTTCTCCCCCAAGACTAGAGCTTGTCCTTCCATTACTTCTGGAAATGCCACTAGCCAATGACTTAAATCTGCCAGCAAATGAACTGGAGATGGTAGAACCGGCTCTTCTTGCCCTTGATGTGCAAGGCTCATTTATTGAATCAGAACCCAACATCGATGTCCCTGAGCAATCTAACTGGACTACAGATTGGCTTCTCTGGGATACACCCCCATTCCTTGTGGAGCTACAGCTAACAGTAGAGCAAGTATCATCGGAACTTATTGTCACAACCTCGTTGTTTGCTGCAAGAGTTGGAAGTGCCTAAACAGTGAGAAAAATATAGAGACCAATAGGCAGAGAAGAAAGAGCCAGAGAGAGATAAGAGGAAACATTTTGGTTTGGGATATCAGCATGAGATACCTCCACAATCTGCTCCAAAAATAGAGTCACGATTAATTCCATTTGAACAGAGAGAACTCTTTGAGTTCCTGTGACCACTAGAAGAACCTCTATGCAGTTGGAAGCCTATTAATCAATCCAGCAAGACATCAGAACAAGAAATGGTTGCATGGGCAAGGCACACTTGTGTTCTATAGCCCATGGTAAAAATCCAATACCAGAAATGCACACAATGTTAGCACCTGAAAGCATCTTGATGACACTTATCATAAGCTCGGTGAAAGATAACCGGGTACCATGAGAGCCTACACTTTTCTTAAATCCGAGTAAATGATTCTGGGAAAGAAAATTGAAACTACAGTCAGTCACTCCTATCTCTGCACCTTGATAAAAAGCTGAGCAAAATCCAAACTTGCGAAGTATTATCATGAAGCAAGAAAATACCTGGTTTTCTCTGCTGAGGAAAGTAGCATTCTCCACAATTTTCAGACATTTCAGAAGCAAAATCAGACTATGCTTATTCACATCATCTTTTTTGTTTCGAACAGAAATATTGTGGTTTTCCACCGGGCGCTGCAGATGAAGCCAACATTAAATACCAGCCAATATGTCAAATAAAGGGGGAAAAAAGCCCAAACGAAATAACATAAATAATGGTAAATTTATAGGAAATTAGGGAAAACAGAGCCCACCCAAGGTCATCTACAGCAGTTAAAAACAGAAACCTTAGTTGTAAATACAAAAGCATTCTGCAAAAATTTAAATTACATTACACCAACCAGTGATTCCTCTGCCAGTACTTTGACAAAGAACAAAGAAAACCAGGACAGTCCAATCAGGTACAAGACAGATAATAGTGTTCCATTTAAAATATAGCTTGCTCAACCTGAAATGCATTTCAGTTGTTCACAGAAAACCCTACCAGGCGCATGAAATTATTGGAACAGATGGAAAAAAGGTAACAACCCATAACACCTGACATAAAACTACTACGATATAAGGAGTTAAAAATACTTAGCACTTGAAGATGTGTGTTCTTTTCTTTTGAAGGGAAGTTATGCAGATAACAAAAACATGAACATGGACAACAACATCTACAAAGCATACAGGTTCACACCTCCATCACAGTATGACAATCCATTACAACCTCCACGACGGCATCAAGTCCTCCTAATTCTCGCAGTTTCTCCTTAAATTTCCCTCCAGTTTTTTTCACAGCACCAGAGGTATCTGTATGGATACAACCATGAAAAACGAAAGAAGAAGAGCGCAAGAACTTATTAACAAAATTACGAGACAGTTATTTAGGAGGAACAGCTAAAAAAAATAGATTGTACAATCTTAATTAAGATTATTTCCTTTCTATTAGCTGCAATACGCTAATTCAATTTTCAGCCAATAGATAGCACCTTACACAGTTAGCCTAAGCTTCCAAAAGACTGGACAAGAAGAAAAGTACCATCAAAGGATATTTTGGATAAGCAGGCTTTCTCCATGGCCAGTAAAGCCACCCATTTCATACTCAACTCAGGTGTCATAGTTTCAGTTTTATAGTTATCGATCAACCTCATCTCCTTGCAATTAACAAGTGTTTCCTGAACTCTGCAGAGTATATCACTGGAGCTTGGATCATGCATTTTGGCTGTATCCCGTGCTGCGTCGACATCCTTGAGCAGTGATAGGAGTTTATATCCTAAATTCCGTGGCTTCCCCACAGAACTTGTAGCGATCACAGGTTTCAACAATTTAATCAGAAACTTTATGCAAATGTGTGACTCCATAAAGTGTTCATCTTGATCCTGGAAGCATGAAAGTGGACTAGTTTAAGAACAAGTAACACTATAACAAATATCAATCTATCAAAAGATTGAAGATTAGCATAAGCATACTTCACTAAGCAAAGCATCATAATCACTTACATCAGCAGTTAGCACAAAGAAAAGAGTAGCTGCGGCAAGATTGCTGGGTATGTCATCGAGGCTGAGACCCAGAACCGCATCGATTATAGATTTCGAGATCCTGATACAAAAAGCTCCCGGGGACATAGGAGAAAGTTTGTGAGTTTCCATGATCCTCGTATCTTCCTAGGACTTCTCATCTACTGGACAATTATCTAATGGGCTCGCACAAGAAATTCCAGTCCTTGTCGCAAATCAGACATCTCTCATACTAACACACCGCCATAGAAACCCTTCACATTAACAATAAACCTCCTTTGCCCATACCCCCATTTTGAATTCACCAGTATTAGGAAACCATTCCACCAGAAACAATAAATGATTGTAATTTCTACCTATTTATGCCCTAATCCTCTTCAGAAAACTGGAATATTGTTACGCTAAATCTGACATAAATCTCGGGAGCACAACTCTAAACCCAATGCGGAATCGGAAATCCGGTCAATTGAACGAACATCGATCTGGAAATTAAGAACCCAGGATCGGAAAGAGAACCCCGCATCTGCCAATTGTACCCACTTGTGCCCTAATCAAGAAAAAATGGAGAATAGGCAAAACCCAGAGCTTAAAAAGATCTCAGGCACGAAACCCTCAAGCAAATTCGAAAAATTTCCCAAGAATTCGAACAAGAAAGAAAACCCCCCAGAAGTAAATCGCTAATCTAAACAGATGAGGTGATGACGTACCCTTGAGCCCTCAAGAGGCGTCGCTGATGCTGAGAGGCGCAAATCGACAACAGAGAAGACAAACTCGCCCTTCGAATCCTCAGTTGCTGACCTCTCCTCAATCCATCAAGCGCGAAGTTAACCTCATCCATATGCTCCATCATCTCCCCGAACTCCTGAGCCTCCATTAACGTCGAAGTCAAGGCACAAGACTCTTCGTTTCTGGATCTCTTCGACCTCCTCACGACGCCGTTCTGGGAGAAATCCTCCAGGAAATTGGATCTGGAAGATGAAGAATGCCAAAGAGACGACGAATCCTGACTGGAAAAAGGGATAGCCGAGAATTCACGAGGCTCTGTGTCCGGTGAAGAAGACGAGGAGAGGTATTCGCTCTGCGAAACGACGTCGTCCATGGAGTCGGAGAGAGTTCTCGGCGTGCCTGGCTTACGGCGGCCGTACGTTCGCACCATCATCGTCGCAGTCCTCGCGAAGCTCTCTCCAAGCCTCGAGCGTTTTAGGTGAGAAATATCGTAAAGGGGTATTTTGGGAATTTAATACAGCAGTGTTCGTCTGACTCAACGAGGGGACGAAAGGCGCAACTTTTAAAACAAAGTTTCCAATTTCGATACATTTACGAAAGTCAGGGGTGACTTAGTGAATACAAAGAATTAGCTGTGAGTTGTTATATTATATTTGAGTTTATTCATTTCAGATCTAGAAAAACTATAAATATTTGTTTTTTTATATTGAATTTAGTTCCGTTGGATTTTGATTTTTATTGATAAACATTTTTATTTAAAAAATCAAATTTTTATTTTTATTTTTTCGATTCCGTTTGATTAGTCTTAATTTTTTCAATTCCAAAGAAATTAGAACTATTCAGGTTTTATATGAAATCCGATTCGATTATATGTTATTCGGTTTGATTATTAAATTATGACTAAATTTATCACCGTATATTTATTTATATTGTATATAATTAACCGACCCATTTGTATTCCATCTTTGATGTATTTTGTTTATTCAGCGTTTTCAAACAAATAATTATATTAAGAAGGCATATACTAGATTGTAGTTGTTGATTTTCGGTTATAGGTTTGGTTAGGTGTTAATAAAGATTTGAAGACCGGTTTGGTTTTCCTGAATTTAGCGGTGACCATTTAAAGTTTCATTCGAATTGGGTACAATTATATTCGAATTCAAATAATAATAATTTAAATTTAAAAGAAATTTGATTTCAATTATTAAATTAAATTTGGTTCAATTCTATTTAAATTTAAATTCTATTTTTATTGAAAAGAATACATTTAGAAGAAATCAGTTATTTCAATTTTTATAAAGGTATTGTAATCATTCGGTATTTATATTAGATTCAATTCAATTAAGATCAATTCAATTATTGGTTATTAATCAAATTGGCCAGCTTTTACATAGGCTGGGTCAAAACGAAGAACACAATGAATAAACCTAATCTCTCCTCCTCCTCCATTCTAACAGTAAAAAATGGTGAAACTTTAATGGATTAGTATATTACACCTTAGCTTCCTGGATTGTCTGAGCTGAATCTCTGTTCCGTATCTCACTTAACGCGGACATATGCTGCTGTGTCCATGCCCGTCTTGTCTGAACGAAGGATGCGAGAGTGGAACTGGTCGATCCGGAATCTGTGGAACTTCAATGTCCCCTTCCAGCATTTTCAATGCATCTAAAATGGTCGGCCTGAATGCCACTAATACATGCGCACACAAGATCCCGACCCGTAAGAATCTCTCCATCACGGCCTTTACATTCGAGCTCCCTGAACCGTCGTCTTCTTTTGTTAAAGAAGGGTCGAAGGCTTCGTCTGTTTTCCCAGCATTCACCAATGACCAAGCCCAGTCTGTGATCAGAAATCCTCCATCGGTAGACAAGTCAAGAGCTTTCCTCCCACACATTACCTCCAATATAACAACTCCGAAACTATACACATCGCTCTTCTCTGTTAATTGGCCGTAAAGAGCGTATTCAGGGGCTAAGTATCCGTGGGTTCCAGCCACTCTGGTCGTAAGATGGGACTGCCCTTCCCGGCTTTGTTTAGCGAGACCAAAATCCGCTACCCTTGCCCTCATATCAGCGTCCAACAGTATGTTTGTACCTTTGATATCTCTGTGGTAAATCGCGGGTTTTACACCATAATGCAGATAAGCCAACCCCTTTGCCACGTCCAAGACAATGTTCTTCCTTTGTGGCCAATTCAGCAGTTTCTTTCGAGCCCCGGATGGAAACAAGTGATCATCAAGATTTCCATTAGGCATGTAATCGTAAACGAGATATCTTCCACTCCCGTAAATCTCGTCCTCGTCCACCATACTACACCCAATAAGCGGCACAAGATTCCTATGCTTCAAGTTGCTAATAATCTCAACCTCGTTTCTAAACTCGGCATCCCCTTGAAATTCTGATTCTATAATCTTCTTGACCGCGACCACTGACCCGTCGGGTAAGACCCCTTTGTATACAAACCCAAATCCACCTCTTCCTATGAAATTCTTCTGCGAAAATTCGTTTGTCGCCTTCTCTAGTTCTTCGATCTTGAACCAAATCGAGCCAGTGTTCAGTCTGAATCTCGGCCTCAAACCTTGTTCCACCGAAACAATCTCTCTCCTTCTCCTCTTGATCAGTCTACCATGCCACAAGCACACACAAACAAACCCAGAAATCACAAGAACAGCTCCAATTGATATTCCCAAGACGAGAGCTTTATGACCCTTACTCTTTGAACCCACCGAAGAACTCAAACTCAATGAGAAGATACAAGTCAAAGCTCCATCACTTTCTGGTCCTAAGTTATTCACAACACCAGCAGCATAAACAACAGCAAAATGGTAACAGTTCATAGCGTGAGAGCTGTTACCATCCAAAGCCAGCAACTGTGACTGAACCCTAAACCCAGCTGCCACGCACGCGTCGCAGCGCGTGAGGTCGGTGAGGTCGCCGGAGCAGGCTGAGTCAAGCGGAGTCGAGTCGCCGAGTTTTGAGACCCAGTCCTGAGTTGTCTGAATCCGGGCGCAACCGGAGTCTGGAGAGATGACGAACTGCATCGGATCAAAGCACGTGGAAGTCAAATTCGTGGGCAGAGAGAGAGAATCGAGCTTCTCCTGGAAATCACGGAGGCATGAGACGGAGGTCGCGAGATCGGGGAGACGGAATCTGGAAGTTTGCTTGAGGTGTTGAGCCATGGATATCCCTATGAGAGACAAAACCGATTGGCAACAGCTGTTCTTCCTATCTGCAGATTTATCGAAGTTCCGACAATCGGTGGTGTTCCATGGGATTCTCACAACATGGTCGAAGCTCAAAGGACAAGTTGTCGCTGCCTCCAGAGAAGATGAAGATCCAGAGAAAGCAAAATAGAAAAGCACAGACACAAGAAGAGAAGAGCGTTTCACCGAAATGGTTACCGATTTCGCCATTTTTTGCGGTTTCTCTTCTGGAAATCGGAGAATCTATTATTTCTGGTGAATGGGTTGTGAACGATTTTGCCATTATGGAAGAGAAACGACGAGAAAGTGGGGTTCTTCGTGGAAAGGTCTTTGGTCAAGAGGCTGCTGAAGCAAAGTGGCATCAGAAAAGGAAGCAGTCTGGAAACTCCATGCCCCCACCCCCGGGGTTTTAACCCTAATAACCCACTTGGGTCGCAGCAATTTCAGGGTACACCACCGAAAAAAAAAAATAAATTTGCGACCTTATTACGACTAATATATAACTAATATACAACTAAAATAAGAGTAGTTTATTAGTCGTAATAAGTTGTATATTAGTTATATATTAGTCGTAATAAGGTCGCAAAATTTTTTTTTTTTTTCGGTGGTGTACACTGAAATTACTGCGACCCAAGTGGGTTATTTGAGTAATATTCCCCCCACCCCCATTACAATATAACGCCAAACTCTTTTCAAATTACAAGAAGGGCGTGTAATAATTCCAAATTCACTAATTAGTACCTAAACTTGACATTAATAACACATTCACCCCTTTAGGTGGTAATCAACAAAAGTTTATAAAACTTTTTTTTTTTGGTTAACGTTTATAAAACTTTACATCTACGCGTATATGTTTTTTGGAGTTGATGAAATTTATGAATGAACTCGAATGTTGATATAAAGCACATAAATTATATTGATTTCTTTTGTTTTCGCATTATTACATGTAAATTTTAGAATTATTGGTGGTGAAAAGATATTTAATGGATTTGAAATTATTCATATGTTTTACCATATTGGAAAATTTATTTAAAATTAAGTGTTTTTAGTTCTAGTATTTAAAACTAATAATAATAACTCACTGAATTTCTCATGGATATAATAATCAACTAAAAATAAGAAATAAAATGAGTGATCAAACTTATTTTTATGGTTTTGTTTTGTAAAGAGAAGAAAAATAACAAAAACGGGATTATGTGAGTAAAACGGAAACTTTCCTAATAAAAGAAGCGTCTCCGTTATCCTTACTCCGTACAACACGCACGCACGTCGTCGTCGTCTCTGGTCCTCCTCTTTCCTTTCTGAAACATCTTCTCAGGAAACGGGATCACCATTTCCTTCGATTTCCTCTGATGAAATGGGGACTCCTCGACCACCGTCGACGGACTTCTACGGCATCTTCGGGATCTCGAGATCGGCATGCAAAGCTTACAAGTCCATCGTCATGAAATTTCATCACAAATCCGATCATGTCTCTGTACGTTTCCATGCTCGAGAATTTTGTTTTTTTTTTTCCCGTGAAAATCGTTCGTTTTGAGAATCCCCGTGGAATAAAATCTGGGCACGAGCTGAATCGATTGTTCTTCATTACACTAAAATTGTTTTACGATGTAAGCAGTTTTTCAAAATCCATCGTCAAGTGGGTTTCAGATTTTTTTTCGAGTTTTCAGCGATCGTGTTATCCTTTGTTGGTTCTGAGAGCGTCACGGTGATGAATCCATCGGCCATTGCAAATTTGGGGACTGCTTGTTCTTCATTTACATTTCCGTTTTGTTATGGGATTTCGAATGTCACTCTACAATCATCCATATCCTTGATTAGGGATCGAACATAACAGTTAATCGATTTCGTGTTTTTTCAGACAGCCCATCGGAGCCCCCACGACAAGAAACCGCCGGCGGAGGAGTCGGATGAAGACGAAGATCCGATGTTCCGGACGGGTCTCCGGCTACAGAGCATGGACGACAGCAACGTTTTCAAACGCCGTGAATCGCTGTTCTCACGGTCAAGCAGCCGCCGCAGCCATACTCCACAAGCCAGACCCACTTACCTCTCCTCCTCATCTTCCAGCCGCCATGGCTCCACCCCC